GAGTGAATAATGGGGAAAAGTTCAGCAGCTGGGAGACCACAGACAATACTGATGACTAGTTCTTTGTCCTCCATCTGCCTTTTTGTAGGCACAGATTCCAGAGTTCAGTTCCACTTTGAGAGATTGTCTGCAGCTTTTGGCCAGTTAGAAAACTTGTTTTTAAGTGGTAAATTTTAAGAAAGCATTTAAGGGGAAGTTAAGTGGCATGCAGAAGTGAGCTCCAAAGAAGAGCAGAAGCATAAGACAAGTTCTAAAGATAAGAATGTCAAGAACGACGTAAATGGAAATATGGTGATGATCATGCACTAAGTATCTTGCTCCTCCATAGAGTGGAGCCACTCTAAGACAGGAAGCAATAAAGGGGAAAAAAAGTCTAAAAAGTAAACTAATATAGCCACCACATTTAAGGACTAGTAGGCTGCAAAATATTACATTTAGATTTTTGGGTTTAGATACACTCTAAAAGCTGGTTTCCATTTGATTCATGTATACATGGCACACACATTCATTTAGACTAATTCCTTCTGTCACAGTACAGAGCCGCTGGCCTTTTCATATACTGTAAGACAATGATCTACAATACAGCTTGTCAACCTATGTGCATTTTTTCATCTCTTGTGTTTATCGTCTGCTCTTCGTATACACTATACAATTAAGATATCAAATCACTTATATACATATACCTGTAAACATTTTCCTTGTATGTTTCTATTCAAACCACAAACATATTACCAATGCTTAACATAGCTCTTAGCTAGACTTCTTACACAAGAAGCAATAAATAAGCACAGAGTTGTACAATCTTTCATGATGATATATGTCCTTTCCAGCCAAGCCATGGTGATCACAGACAGTCTGGTGACCCTTAACCTCACATATATCTCAAAGACACGATAAATGCCCAAAGCTAAACGTGCTAAATAGTGCAAGATAAATGCAAAAGACATCAGTTACAGCTCAATGCTAGATTTTCAAACTAAGGAGAGCTGCAGGAGCTCATTAACAATGCCTTTTTCTTTACCCAGTGTTCACTGTGATTACAAGCATGTTAAGAATGCTTAACTTAAATTAGTCTGTGATTACTGTTCTTTGTTTTAGGTAAAGACAGAAAGCAATTCCAAGCCTTTTTTGCCTTAATTTAGCTTGTTGTTGTTAAAAGTACTTGAGGACATAAAGATCCCTGGTGTGTTAAGCGCAATTATTTATATCCAGCATTAGTTTCCTAAAATTCAAGCGGAAAGTGAAGGAATTTAGAAGAATAGTGCATCTATAAATGGCTAAGTGAAATGTTTCTTACACTTCTGCCACCTACGGCAAAATATTTGCAATCCCAGCCTGCTCTATGCTAATGTGCTCTGAGTGAGCTTATATTTATTTTTCACACGTTGCTTTAAACAAAATTGCCCATATGATCGCAATACTAGTCCTAATATGAAGCCTTCAGGAAGGCAGCGATTCATTACAATAGATAACTCACAATCAAATAGCCACATTAATGTATATTTTATGCAATCCCTCACATTATATACCATTGCACTGTGCCAGCTCCAGTACATTCTAGGTAGCTGAAATGAAAAGGGTCTGAAATTTCAGTTTTTGGCTGGCCCCTAGTTATTTTAATCACCAATGACAATATTTCTGCACTTGAGTTCCCTGGTGCTGCCACAACCCACAAAAGAAAAGAGGCCACGGAATCATTTGCCCAGTCATTTCTGACATATGAGGTTAGGGTTGACTCATGGATATTCTATTCATAAGGCAAGCTTAAATTTTTGTCCCAGATGGTACCCAGCAGGTGAGACACTTAACAAGGTCCTTGCCTCGTGGCCTCTTCTAGTGCTTCTTGCTGCTGAAAGAAGTATCTATAGTACTAAAGTATCGTAAAGGGTCATAGTGGCAGCAACAACCAAAATCCCAAGTGTGCAAGGTTGAGGAAGGGATTGGGTGCTCTGAGACAACATATCGGTATGTCTTAAGCAGCATGAAAAGAGCCCTAGGCAAACTAACGCCATATATCTGCTTAAAGTCAGTAAATAAATATATGTAACTATATACAAATGTATTTCAATGGTTGCATATAATACATATTTTGACTGCACTGAGCAGCATCTGGGATGGAATGTATGGTTTGCATATAAACAACTATACAAACACTTTGAGAGTATATTGTTAATGCATTAATGCACAAAAAAACAATATGAGGCCTACAATTAATTCAATAACCATTTTCACATAGACTTACTGGAATAAGACTGAACAACATACAAAATGGTATATTTAACTACTTAACTACACTAGTTACTGCATTAGCTTGAGTAATATTCTGCATTCACATGTGTAACAAAGATTTATAAAGCATTATAGGGATTTTGAACTACGTACACTGTGCTGTATTAATCCTGTTCATCATTAGACACGGTTTGAACTTCCCGGACCAGTCAAAGCAATGGACACTACTACATTTAAATTATTGTTACAACACCATACTATAAAATGTTACACAGATGGACTATAGAATGGTTAGAGTGATAGAAATGATGGAAAGATAGTGAAGCATACATGGTTTTATTTAATAAGACAGAAAGCCAACCAACCAGCAATCATGTATCACTGATCCGGCTACAATTAACTGAAATCTGATTAGTTGCTATGGATAATTGCACTTTCCATATGACTAGAGCATTAAATAAGCTGCTACGATTTTATAAAACAGCAAATATTTGTGCAAAAATGTAATATTGGAAGATGCAACCAAATAACAGCTTTGAGCAGTTTAGTATACAGAGCCTAGTGAAAGCTAACCTGATCGGTTACTAAAGATAAATTGTTCTTGCACCTCACTGCTCTGTGTATTACACTATTAAAATCCACTCTTAGGAGCATAACCTTCCTAGAAATTAATTTAATTAAACTAGTTTAAAATACCATAGGATGCACAGTGGAATTGAGGGATAATTGTATCTGCCTCTGAACTGTACCTTTTTATCAAACTGATTATCAATATATGTCCTTAAGGACTTCAAACAGAATAGCCTGTGAAGAGCAATATCATATCAATAATTAACAAGCTTTTCATCAAACTGTTCATCAGAGCAGGTGTAAAAGTTAGAGCATTTGCCTTGCACTCCCTAACCTCTTGGGGCTCCTAAATAAGACTGAACCACTGACATGCATTTCATCAAGCTTCCTTTATTTAAAGCATCTTATCTGTGTAGTAAGTACAATACAGACAACTGTGAATACCTGTAACAATATATGACTACAGGTGCCTATAAATATTAGGGAATGTTTGCCCAATTCAGACCACAACAGGCATCCCCCTCCTCAAGCCTTCTAGGAAAGAGAGTTGATTGGCTGGGTTGGATTTTTCCCATCCATTTGCTATTGTTTTCTTCCAAGAAAGGCCAATGCAGGGATGTCTACAGGCTTTCTCTACTCCCTTTCTCCATAGCCACAAGCATGCACATTGTCCTGGTGTAAAAGTGAAGGCCAGGGTTGTAATCTTTGCTATAGGCAATAATCTATGTGTCTAATATAATTGTTCTGTGGCATTTTCCATATACTTCTATTAGCCAGGAGACCACAATAAACTTTGTCTTCAGTCTCAGGTCTGATAAAAGCAGCTCTTGTGCTCATGAAATGCTAGAATCTGGTTTAACAACAGAAGTGAAGGCTGGCTGAGGTATGGATAACCAAATGCCATAGAAGGTTTTTTTAAATGCATTTCCAGTAACACTTTGCTTTCAAGCTGGCTTATTTGTGCTCATCAGTAACATGTTGCTATAGGGGGACCCTCCATAATATATCTGTTATTATGTCTTATTTTTCAAACTAAAAAAAATGCATTTCAGATAATGTCCTTAGTTACACAGTAATTCTAAAGCCAACATTTGAATGATTATAAGAATTGAATGTATACCTAACAAATGGGGCTTATTCAGCAAAGCAATATAGATGACCATAATGTTGTACAGATTGCAGGAACCTACAGCACCCTATGAAAGCTCTTCATGCTGTTGTCAGATCAGTGAATGATTAAATAGCTTGCTCTGGGTCACTGCACTTTTCTTAACTTATTAAAATAAGATTTTGAAGTATAGTGATTCAGCCCTGAAAAGCATGCACAAATGTAATAGCAAAGGCCATATTTAATTTAAACATTTGCCCTCATTTATGGGACATTTTCCATTTTGGTGCCAAGCAGGACAAACTGTCCAAACATGGGCACTGTCCCTTCAGACGAAGCTGGCAGCTCAGAATGGCTTCGCTGTCCGTGGTGCTGAACCCTACACTCCACCGGTTGCTGTCCATGGTGCTGAAAACGGGCGGGCTCTCCTGGTAGCTTTTCAAACATCGAATCCCCATAATAGAATCCTCTGCACGCACAGCAAATCTAACTAATGTTTCCTTTTCATTTTACACCTGTTGGCAGGCTTGATTTAATCTGAAAAGAGGGACGATTTGTCATCGCTGCTGTAAAAGAAATCATGGTGCATTGTTGAAAAGGGGATCTGTCAGCATCAGTCTTTTAATAATTAATCATTGCGATAAGAAGAAGGGGGGCTGTGCAGAGGGGGAGCCCACCGCCCCTCTGCCATAGATCCTTCATACAGGCGAACAGGGCAGGCGAACTTCTCCTCTTCAAGGGGGAGGGAGACGGGGGACAGCTGACTTTCTCAATTCAATTTTAGGACAGATAGTCCTACCAACTCCTAACTGTTCAACATCCTACCAACCACCCCCCCCCTCCCCCCCTCTACGATCCTAGACAAGCAAACGTTTTATGAGATTTTTACCATACCGTTCCATTGTTTCTGTACACAATTCAACGTTCTTACCTTACAGTTTCAAGCAGATGACTTAAATATGCTGCCATTATCAGCAGCAACATTTGAGTTTTTAATACTGGGGCATTAACCCCTACCTTTCCAGGGGCAGTGTATCCCACCATGAACCAGGCTTTTTCCACGTTGCATTTAAAAAAGAAATGAAAAGGATATGGCCAGTCGATAAGCTTCTTAGCATATTTCCTGATGATATTGTCTTCTCCAAAGATGAACAGCGACCTGTTCACGGTGAAGCAGTTCTGCCGGACTGGTATGGGGTTGTATAAAGCCATCGTCCTTGCTCTTTGGGCTTTGGATTGCTTGAAAGCTGCCTGGGTCCCCAGCGGGGCAGCCGGGGACCCTTGCAGAGTCTTACTCCTCTCTGATCCTCCATCCCCGGACCCCAATCGGCCAACCACCGCCTCTCCAAAACGAGCCATCCTGGAAGTTGAAAAAAAAAAAGACAGGAGATCAGAGGTAATCCATGGAGGGAGGGGGGGGTCACAAATGAGGGGTATCAAAGAGCCTTCAGTAACAGCATACTCACTCGGTGTAGAAGAGGAGTGTATATGACTGTACCCCAGCCTTAAAACAGCAATAAATCCAAGCAAATCCTATGTGTATTACAACTACAAGGAGAAATATGGATCAGCTAGTGGTAGCCAAACCAGCTGATTAATTCATTAGCACTCTGCAGCCCGAATGGACATCACATAGCGGAGCAGCACTGCGCACACATGAAGATCTGTGCATGATCACTGAGTTGGGGAAGCAACAAGATCCTATTCACATAAGGACACGTCCCAAAGCCCAGGGGGGCCGGCGACGCTGTGAAAACGGCTCAGATCACGTGTAGCCCACAATCAATTCGGGGGGATGAAAATAGGGAACGCTGTGCCCAGTTCTCCTCTCCGAGCCCCCAGCAAGAAAGACAAAAAAATAAGCATGTCATTCAAAGAGGGAGTGTAGGCAATGGGCAGGTAGCACTGCAGCACAGCGATCTGTTGCCAAGGCGGTGAACTTCCTGATAATGAAGCTTTGTGTTGGCGAGCCACATGCAGGAGGGCAAGGGGATGACTACACACTGAGCAGATACAAGCCAAACAAACGATCAAAAGACAAGGGAAGAGGCTCTACATAGGAGGATACGCCAAATAGCCTTGGCAGCCTTGGGCGGGGAGAGCAGACATAAGGAAATCACTTTCAAATGGGCAATGCGAACCAGAGAAGCCATGGAAAGAATCAGGATTAAAGGTATAAAGCAATGAGCACATGCCTTGTAACTCAGAAAGTGGGGTACAGCAAGCGTAAGAGTAGCACCCCAAATATCCTACATGCGTGGTGTAGCTAGTGTCTTGCTCCCCTTGCAGCCAGAATTTACATGTAGATGTCCTGGTGCCAAAACGCAGCTCTGCTTCTCATAGACACACACACACACACTAAATGACTTCTTCCTGGATACAGCACAGTACAGGCATACACCCCCCAACCACCACCACCCATTTCATCTCTTTTAATTGAAGGTGCAGACTATAATGTATGTTGCCTTGTATCAAACACAGCTACTAGCCTGTCTTTCTCTCATTCTCCTTGTCTTTCTTTCATTCTCTTTGTCTTTCTCTCATTCTCTTTTTCTTTCTCTCATTGACTCTCCCAGTGCTTTCTTAATACAACTTTTACCCCAGATAAAGCCAGCCTGCTAATCAGTTTGTATTAATAAAATCAAGTCATTAACGGCTCAGACATGTTTTGACACCAGAAGGAAATACATTCTGCAATGGAATGTAAACAAGTTGATGAGGAAGAGTCCCAGGTGTTAAAAAGTATTTTTTTTGCTTTTAGGCATGCAAGTGTGTTAAAATTGTATCTCTAGACAAGACTGATTTTAGGGAATAGTTAAAGCTGTATTAAAGTGATAATAAAGTCAAAAGGTTTTTAGGCTATTTCCAATGCTGATTAAATCACCTACAGTGGATGCTGCTCCTTGAAATTTAAAGGAGAACTATGAGGTGAGTGAAATCACTCATCCTTATAGTGCGAGCTGACGTGTGACAATGAAACTGTCACACGTGGGCTCAATAGATTGGGAAGTGAGCGAACGCATAACGTCCCTCGCTCACTTATCGATCATCTCCATGCAGAGAGCCGTGACTGTCACTCACGGCTCTCTGCAGGGATACTCCCCGCTCTGACCCCCAAGTGCTGACTGGCGGAACGGACGGGGGAGGGGGTGGGTACAGCTGGCTCTACCTCTAGATAGGCAGAGCCAGCTGTCACTCACGCAACTGGGTGGATCTCGACAGTAATGTCGGGATCCGTTGCGGCTGCGGCGGTCTCAGTATACCGCGAGCTGTAGCTCGCGATATACTGAGCTTTGGGTGACGGGAGGACGCTAGTTTATGTCCTTTCATGACCCTTAGGAGAACTATGGGGAAAAATACATACCACATAGTTCTTATTTAAACATTTTAATTTCCTGTAGAATCAGCTGGTCCCCTGAGCACTCGTCCTGATATGCTGTTTTAGGGTACTGCCTTAGTTCTTTTCCCTTGCATGGTCCTATGGGGCTAACCTTGTGTCTGATAGTAACCTGGTTATGTCTCTACAAACAAAGACACAGCAAGACAAGTCACTTCCCGATCCTTCTTCCTCTTCCTCTTCCCCTTTAATTTCTCACAGCTAGTAGATGGATGGCTGCTGGAGACTGCGCTCTCCCTTGTGATCTTACACTGGACAGGAAGTTCAAGGAAGCTGAGCTGAGAGAGTTGGAGCTGTAAATATTTTGCTCGGTAATGTATTTTTGTTTGATCGGGATTAATTATTGAAAAAAAGTTTGAGAGTTTTATACTACTTTAAACTCTTAAACTTTTTTCAACAATAAATCCAGATCAAACAAATATACATTGTCCAGGAAAGCATTTCTTAAATGTTTGCCCAAGCACTTACAGTCATGATGTTTCCAAACAGCTCCAACTCTCTCAGTTCTTCTTCCCTGAACTTCCTGTCCAATACAAGATCAGCACAGTGTTCAGCAGTTGTTCATTTACTCGCTAAAATTGGTAAATCATGTTGAGGAACCAATAATATAACATCGCTATTTCAACATACAGTATCTGGAACCATGTTTGATATGGGGCTATTGATTCATTATGTGGAACCCTGACCAGCAGATTTTAATGTAATGTGGTTTTGATTGCAAATTGGTTGTAAATAAAAGTTTATGTTTTTAGTATTTGAGATGAATGCCATTTGAGTATGATTTGGAAGACCCCCCCACCCCCAGTTCCTAGGAACTGGGTGACGCCAAAGGAATCCTTGCTCTCTGTAATCTGTAATCAATACATTGATTGTATATGGGGCGAGTAACTCACGACCTTCCTCTACTTTTAACGTCTCTGATATCTTTGTTATCACTCAAAGATAACAAAAATGTTATTAACTCTTGCAGGCATACCCCTAGCACTGCATGGTTTAACTTCATTTTGGTCTAGGGAGAAAAATAACAAAGTGAAACTCACCTGATCCTCCGAGCCAGCCGGCTGTAGCAGCGCTGCCTCCAGACTGTCTCCTCCACGCGTGCAGCGATGGTATGTCCCTCAGCGTCCTCACGTCCTATACATAGTGTATTGGATGTGATGACTCACAGGACCTTAGACCGCTGCAGCAGAGGGGGAGTGAGGCTGTAGGGACTGGTCTAAGAGCAAACCAACTTGGAGGATCGGGTACTTACAACTTTTTTTTTAACTCTTGCAGTGTGGAAAAAGCCACACTGCAAGGGTTAATACAAGTTGCACCCAGAGTTCTGCTTTAAGTTCTTCTCAAACAATTCATCCCCACACAGCTACCTCCTCATATATCACTTGCCCCTCCCTTTTAGATTGTAAGCCATCACGGGCAGAGCCCTCCTCACCATCTTGTCTTGAATTGTATTGTGATTGTAATGTCTTCCTTATATTGTAAAGCGCTGCGCAAACTGTTGGCGCTACATAAATCCTGTATAATAATAATAATAAGTTGATGTACCGTCAATAAACTGGCATGTTAGTACTGTGATAGGAAACTCCAGTTGCCTGCAGCTGACTTTAGCATCTTTTTAGCTGGGGAACCCAAGCCAGCACTCTCCATTATGAAACCTACCTAAGCTAGAAGGTTTGAGCTTTGGTCTGCCCCTTCCACATTTGGGGGCTTGAAGGTGGTTAGTGAGTTGTATGGATAACCCAAAAACAAGGCATGGGAGGGAATGGACCAAAGTTCGGCCTTCCTAGTAAAAATGTGCATACCAGGACCACATCTCACTTTCTTAAAGAAGCTAAAATTGCTTGCTTGCCTCGAGGCTGGCTTAGTAATATTATATTAACTAAAGGTTCAACTTAAAGGCATAGGCATAAAAAAATAATAATAAACGCACACACACACTAATAAAAGAAAACTGTGCATTTATTAATTGTTTGCATTTGAGTCTGCAAAGCATTGTAGTTGGGATTAATGAATCATGGGTGCAATGCACAGACTCTTCCTACTGGCCGATGCCCAGACTGAGGTACACACATTCAGTTTACAGAATGAGGAGAAGTATCAAGGGACTAGTGGTGTGGTGATGTCACCGCACTCATATATTCCATTAAAAATTAAGTGTTCCTCTGTTGTGGTGGCAGACGATACTTATGTTCTCCCCATTTACAGTTCCTGTGAACGAATCTATGAATCAATGACATGACTGGTTGCACCAAATAAAAAAAAGTGGCAGCAGCCTGCAAGGAGCCTTTTGAATCAGGTAACTGGGGGTGGGGTGATTTGGGGGCGTGGGGCTAAGGGATGTGACCATGTTTCATGTTACACCCCTGAATATCAGCATAACATGAAACATGGTCTAAAAAGTGGCGGTATTCCTCGAAGCTGGCTTATTGCAAACACAAATACTTGTACCATGCATTTCAAAGAAAACTCACTATCCTGGTTCCCCATGCAGTTTGTATACCTCACAGTCAACAAAAAGTATACTAATATATGTGCAGGAGCACACATTGGAAGGATATGCTAATACACATCAGCGCACACAAAACTACATACCACACTGCTGCATAGGTGTGAAAGGACCATAAATGGTAATAATAGACAATGGGATGTTACAAAAGTACAGACAACAGAGGAGAGGACTTTGATGATTCCTACTGTGGCTATTGCATTTAAAGAAGAACTATGAGGTGAGTGGAAATCACTCATCCTTATAGTTTGAGCTGACGTGTGACAATCAAACTGTCACACGTGGGCTCAATAGATTGGGAAGTGAGCGAACACATACCGTTGCTCGCTCACTTCTCAATCATCTCCCTGCAGAGAGCGGTGACTGTCAGTCACGGCTCCCTGCAATGGGATTCCCCCCTCCCCTCTCCGATCCTCCAGCGCTGACTAGAGGAACGGACAGGGAGGGGGCGGGTACAGCTGGCTCTGCCTCTACATAGACAGAGCCAGCTGTCACTCACGCACCTGGGTGGATCTCAACAGTAATGTCGGGATCCGTCCCGGCTGCGGTGGTCTCAGTATATCGCGAGCTGTAA